GTGAGTCAAGATTGTTCTTTTGGGGGTCCCACTGATGATGATGGCATCATCAGCAGATGGGGCACAGTCTCCTGAGGCCTGGGAGGAATCTGTCCCAGAAACCAGGGGGTGGGGACTTCTGACTCAATCAAGGAAAGATTGTCAAGGAGAAAGTCAACAAAAAGTGAACCTTCTAATTTCAAAAATATCGTCGTCATTCCATTTCAAATTAAGGGACTTGGAGAAAGGGGAGTGGGGAGCTCGGTGTTTCATGGGTTCAGTGTCTGATATTGGGATGATGAGAAAGTTCTGGGGATGGATTAGCCGGTGATGGTGAGAAAACTATGTGAATAAACTGAACACCAATAAATCCTGTACTCAAAAATGATTAAAATGGTAGTTTATGTTAAATCTCTTATACCCCAATAAAAAGTAAATAAAGTTTTGTTCCCAGTGGGCAGGTGAGTAGGGGAAACTCTCTTGCCACCTCTTGGCAAGAGCCTGAGAAACAATGGGCACATCAGCAGTGTGAGCTCTTCCGAGGGCAGTGCTGACAGCCTGGGAGGCTGGTGAGTGTAGCGGGGGCAGGCGCAGGTTCCGGGTCCTAGAGCATGAGTGTGGCAGGCAGCATTGACTTCTGCCTGCCTAGGAGGGGTCCTTGAAGGTGGGCCTGAGTGAGCAGAGGTGAGCTCTGTGTGTCCCGTACACAGCAGCAGATTACTGTCCACCTGTGCGGAGAGGGGAGAAAGCCATGATGATGGGAGCTGGTTTGGCTGAGAGTTTCCAAAGGCCCAGGAGCTATTTAACCTTACATCAAAACACAAAGGACAGCTCAGGAGAGGCCATCACACCTGCCTAATATCTGCATTTTTAGTAGAGACAGAGTTTCACCATGTTGGCCAGGCCGGTCCCAAACTCCTGACTTCAGGTGATCCGCCTGCCTCCATGTCCCAAAGTGCTGAGATTACAGGCATGAGCCCCTGCACCCAGCCTTCATTACTCTTTATTACTCTTTTTATTATTATTATTGTTGTTTGTCTCTGCCTGTCAATCATTCCGCTCATCACTCAGCTGACAAATATCACGTCCTGAGTAGATACTTGTAGAATGAATGAACACAATTTCACCTCAAAATCTAAGGAATGGAGGGACAATGGTGGAATGGCAGGTCAGCGTTTTGTTTCAAAGTTTGTTGAAATATTGGGGCCAGCGTCTTTGTGGCCCCCAAGGAGTCCAGAAAGTTTTTGGGTCTGTGGTAAACAAGGAGGAATTTTTTTGTGTTAGTTCAGAAGCACTTCATATGGAGAACTTTGTCGGAATATATATATATCTATATATGTATGTATGTATCTCCTGCATCCTAAATCAAACAACTCAAGTTGTTACAAAGCTGTAAAAGCAGGATTAAATAGAATTCATCTAAAAAATGTTTTTCAGAGGGTTAACTAAATCTAGCCACCAATGAAATTTTTTCCCAAAATGACAACTTATCTCAAAAATATGCCAAGTAATATTTCTCCTGTAAACAAACTGAGCTCACATCTACAGGTGTCTGATTTCTTTGATTCAAGTGATCTCTGACTTGCGGGTACCCCTCAGCGCCCAGCCTCAGCGCCCAGCCTCATCCCTCCTCTTCTCCCCTTGGACTCAGTCCCTTCTCCTGAGTTGGGAGGTCGTCTGGACCGTGTCCTCGCCATCTGTGTTGCTCCCTCCCCACCAACCACGTGCATTTGCTCCGCCGTCTCTCAGTGCACTTCCCCAGGATGCTCTGGCCACACTGATCAGGTGTCTCCATCTCTGCCCCTTCTCTTTCCCCTGAGTACTGTCCAGTGTTTTCGGGAGACTGTGAACTTCTTGTGAATGCTAAATACTAACAGCTTCTCAAAATGAGCCCGCATGTTCTAAACAGAACCTGCAGTCAGGATTCCAGGGAAGATCAGCTGGCTCCCACCCCAAAAAAGCACTTTGCTCTGTAAAGCATTTTCTGCGGAACACCAAGCTCACTTGGGGCCTTGGAAAGACATTCAGGAAGGGAGTTACTAAGTCTGAGTTTCTGGAGATGTTTTCAGGAGAGATGAATTCACTGCAATCCTTGGATTATTGTTGAGCTTCCAGAAAGGTTTATGATTGTTTTCTTCTGCCCCAAAGGATTAGGTCTCTGAATCAGTAGGGAGCTTCATGGGAGAGATCGGGGGAGGATGGAGGATGTTGATGGAAGCGAGAAAGCCTGAGGTTGTCCTGCACTTTCTTTTCTCAAAGTAATGAGAAAGGCCCACATAAGTGCAGGAGCCATGGCCTTAACCCATCACTACCACATGTTACAGGAGACAGGACTTGACCATCCTCCCACAGGTCAGAGCTATTGTTAATCAAGGTGACAATGCAAGATGCGTTTCCCACTCCTGACTCCACCCAGTTGCTATAAATGGAGCCCCTTGAGTGCTGTTAGCTTGTTTCGAAACTGGGAGACAGTTTAGCAAATGTTTCATCACAGCCAATATTTGCTGAAAATACTAACACATTCCCCAACCAAAAATGAGTCACTATAAATAACTCAAGGGCACTAGTCCCGCTCCCCACATGAGAGAATATTGGTTCCGAGTAAATGGGGCCATATTTAAAGATAACAAAAGGGATAACATGGGAGACGATGGTGGGATTAGGATCCCAGTGACTGCTCTAAGTATATTCCGTCTGGCCGAGTGGGTTTCAGTTCCTTTATCTAGACAAGGAAATGCTCCTCATGACTGGCAGAAGCAAGAAAAGGTTTTCTCATCAGCTCTACCCCAAGGCTGCCGAGTCACTAGACTTTAGAAGACAATGTCATCAGTGATCACCGTTAGCAAGGAGCTGGTTTCTGTCGTACTGTGTTGTTGCTGATAATTTTTGTTACAGCAACTGCAATGTAGAAGACTTGATTCAGGGACAGCAGAAACCAAAGCCTGTGCCTTTGAGGAGGTTACCAGCAATGAACTAACACCCATTCTCTGCAGGAGGAAGCTGGAAATGGCAAGAGGTATCACCAATGGCTAGAGCCCCAGCACATGGGTCATGACTCACGCTGTGCAGGTCAACTATGGGCCCCGCTTCCTCAGGCCTTAACTGTGGATCATACGCTTGATTCTTACCTTTCACATACAGCCCCAGTTGCTAGGATGCCTCTTGAGTCAATGAGCTCTTTGGTCTCCTCTTTGGCTTGAGCAAGGAAATGATCTGGCTTCACCACCAAGAAGCTGAGAAGCACCCAAAGGCTTCTTTAGGCAGGTGGCAGGACATGGGTGTACCCTGCAAGTGCTCCTAGCAATAACTGAGTTTTTGTGCCGGAGGCTTTGGGTTTTCCAGCTCTCGACCTAACATCCCCAAATGTTTGGGTCCAATTACTTCATGAATAATAGGGTGAAGACGCCACCCCTGCCAGTGGGGAATGGGTTCCTGAGAGCTGGGAGGCCCGAGTCAGATCTTGAGACTCTTCACCAAGCAGGTGCTGTTGAGCAAAGGCAGCAACTCTCTCTCTCTCTTGCTCTCTCTCTCTCTCTCTCTCTTTCTCTCTCTTTCTAGGATCTAAGAGTATAATTGTTGAGTCATGGAGCAGATGGCTGTGTAAGGGAAAGTGCCAAAAAGGTTCCAAAGGGGTTGTATCATTTTGTGTACAAGATTTGTGCAATGTATGAGAGCTCCAGTTGCTTCACATCCTTGCCAACACTTAATGTTATCTATCTTTTAGTGAGGGGATGGTACTGTCTCACTGTGGTCTTAGTTGCCCTGTTGACCAATCATGTTGAACATATTTTTATGTGCTTATCCACTCCTCTGTTATTTTTTATAAAGTGTTTGTCCAATATTTTGCCCATTAAAATTAGGTTATTTTTCTTTTGATTGTTAATTTGTAGAACTTTAAAAGATAGATTCTGGATTGAAGTCCTTTGTTAGATATATTTGAAAAGTCCTTTGAAGATATATTTGGCATATATTTTCTCCTAGTCTATCGCCGCCTTTTTCATTTTCTTATCAGTTGCCTTATGATGAACAGAAGTTAATTTTATTTAAGTGAAATGGAAGAATTTTCTAATTTTAAGATGAACGCTATTTTTCATCAGCCTAAGAACACTTTGCCTACCACATTCGATAGTCTCTTATCTTTTTGAGAAATTGTATTGCTTTTTTGTTTAATAGAACTCTGATCCATCTTGAATTAATCTTTGTGTTTAGCGCAAAATAGGAACTAAGTTTTAAATTTTCTACACAAATAACCAGTTGTTTCAGCACTATTTCTTGAAAGGACTTTCCTTTTCCTTTTTCCATTACTTTGATGCCTTTGTAAAAAAATCTCTTAATCGTATACAAATGGGTCTACTTCCAGACATTCTATTCTGTTTAGTGATCTATTCATCCTTACACCAATACCATACTGTCTTGGTTACTATACTACAGTAAGACTTGAAATTAGCTATTTATTCCTCCATTTTATTTTTTAAGAGTGTTTCAGTTATTGTGGGTCTTTTTCATTTCCATATAAATATTTAAAAATTCACTTGTTAATTTCTATAAACAAGTCCTCTTTGGATTTTAATTGGTATTGTATTGAATATATAGGTAAATTTGGGGAGAAATGATACTTTAACCATAGTTCATCTTTCAATCTATGAACATTATATAACTCCATTAATTTAGGTTCTTTTAAATTTTTTTAGCAATGCTTTATACTTTTCAGTGTACAGGTCTTACACATCTTTATTTACTTATTTCTAAGTATTTTATATTATTTTAAAATGATATGTAGTGTTTTGTAAATTTCATTTACCACTTTTTATGGATAGTATATAAGTATGCAATTGAAATGTATAGATTTACTTTGTATCCTGAGACCTTAGTAAATTCACTTGTGTGTTACAGTGGTTTCTTTGTAAATTCCTTGGAAATTTTTATGTAAACAGTCATGTCATCTGCAAATGGAAGAAAATTTTTTTTTCCTTTTCCAGCTTTATATTTTTATTTTTATTTTATTTATTCTTTTTTTTTTTAATTACAGAAGGGGTGGAGATTTAATGTTGTCCATAGAAAGACGTTAATGCCAGACTGACAATTTAGTTATGGTTACAAACCGGAAAACCATGCCATTTGGGCTAATGGAATTTGAAGTTACTAGAAAAAGACAATAGATTTTTGATGCAGAATGACAAGGCTTATCTATAACATGTCAACGTTTTCGACGGCTCTGAAATTTATAAATAGCTGGGGAGTTCACTGTTTCTTTCTTCACCTTCACTTTCTGAGTTTTATCCAGAAGATCTTTGCGTGTTTGAATTTTCTGAGCAATAACGAACAATTTCTTCTCTCGTTCAATCTGCTGTGTCAGGCAGTTATATTGCTTTTGCCTTTCTTTAGCTATTCGCTTAAGTCCAGTCTGATGGGTAACTCCTTTCGCTTTTTCCTTCTGCAAGGTCTCTATCCTGGGCCTGTTAAAGACTCTGTGGACTAGTTCCAGGGCTGTTTGCAGGTGAGTTGCAACATCAAACTGTTCCACGTCCTTTTTGGTGTCAAAAAAGAACACATGCTTGCTCCGTTGCTTCCCCTGGAAATGCAGCAGATGGAGCTCTGATTTTAGTCTTTCCATTTTCTTAGCTTCTGCAACCCTTTTCATTTCTATATATTTGACATCCTGAGTTCTCATCGGCTTTAGTTGTTCTGGCGTTACTTCTTCCTTAGTCTGCTTAATACCATGTACTCCATCCTGGCGTTTAACCCGAGTCATTTTGTAGTAGAATTCATCTGGATTTTTTTCAAGAGCCTTCTTCCGGAGAGCTCTGAGGTATTCTTGTTTTTTTACGGTAGTCATCTGCATGAAGTTTGTAATCTTTCTTTTTCTCTAGGAGGCCCAGATGTTTTCGAAAGCCAGGCTGGCTTCACTCTCGGTGTTCCCGCTGCCGGGACTTAGCGGCCTTCCGAAAAGCCGCTGCCGTGTCTGTACAGCCTTGGAAAAAAAAGCTCACTGGACAACGCCGACTCTGCACTCCCTCTGCCGCCGCCCTATATTTTTATTTTTATTTATTGTTTTTTTTTTCTTGTCTTATTGCAATGCCTAGAACTTCCAGTGCAACCATGAGTAGAACTGATGGATGAGAACATTTCCACCTTCTTTCTCATCTTAGGAAAAAGTGTTCATGTCACCATCAATATGACTCTAGCTATATGTTTTCTGTAGACGCTCCTTATTGGTTTGATAAAGGATCCTATTTCCTTACTGTTAAGTATAATTTCTCCAAGAATCTTTGAGTTCTATTTTCAGTTGAAGGACTTTTAAAATGCCAATAAATTTAGAAAGCATTATTTCATAAAGAGTGCTAATTATGTTCTGTTCTCTAAGCATCAACTCGTTTAATCCTGAAATAAGGTCAGGGTGCTATTATTTATATTTTCTGGTAGAGGAAACTGATGCACAGGTTGGCAGAGAAGTTTCTCAAGGTCAGACATCTAGGAAGTGGCAGAGCCAGACAGTCTGGCTCCTGAGATCATAGGCTAGCCTGCCCCCATAACCTCATGCATGTGGTTTCTGTAAATTGCTTCTGCCATCACTTGCCCATCTGAAAGTAGCAGATGCTACTGAAAAACACCTTCTTTTGGGGGTGGGGAGAAGATGACTGCTAAATGTTTTAGTAGGAATACATTTCTACAGCATAGATATAGCATCCCGCATTGCAGAAATGTATGTTGACCTAAACTACATATTCATATATGTGATTTCCCTTTTATTTCCTCAGAATATTTGTTTAAATGAGGGTATTGATTTCATTCTTCAAAACAAGTTTAAGTCTTATTTTTGTTAGTGGTTACCTCCATAGCTTTCCATAAAATATATGTTTTCCTTAACTCAAGAGATAAGAAAGCAAATGTCATCATGATCCAAAGCAGTTTCTTTTCGAATGTTTTCATTGGCAAGATAAACATATTTAGTTTTTGTAATCACTACACTGTATGTTCTTTGCTCTTTTCCAGTACGATACTATGTATTTTATACACAGCGACAGTAATTGGCATGCACATTTCTGTATGCATCGATATGTGTATGTGAATTTATACATATACTCAGTCTGAAAGTGTATTTTGCTTAGGTGTGAGGTAGTAACATGGCTGCTATTTCCTTTGTGTCCACTCTGTGTAGGTCACCCGGGGCTTTATATTTATTGTCTTTAATTCTTACAACAATTTTGCAAAATATGTATTGTCAGTCCCATGATCCAGCGAGAATTTGGAGACAGGAAAGATTAATCACTCCGTTGAAGGAATACGGGTAGCAAGTAGTCAAGCCGGGATTATTTCTGGAATTTCAATCCACACCCATTAGTGGTGGTGATTTAAATGATTCTTGTGCCATGGCCCTGGTGCTATGTGGTTATTCAGAAGGAAGGACACAGATAGGACAAGCATGGGTGGTGAGGCAGCATGCGGGCAACCCTTGCCAGCACATGTGCTGTTTGGTGGCCTGAGGTCCTCAGTGAACATGAACCCCACCTGCTCAAACTTGTTTACTGGAGTCACCGCTCACTCAGCAGGATCTAATGGGAATGCCCTCACATGGTTTTGGCCACAGTCCTGAGAGTGTGGCAAACCACATAAAAGGGGAACCAGGCCTCCCACCAGGTGCCCAAGGGTGTTGCAGAGCTCATCCGAAGTCCCAGGGTCACATCTTTTGTTTCTCTTCAATGTGAGTGCTGAGAAGACTTGCTTAGCATGTGGTGCTCAAAAAAATACTTGGGAATGAATGAACAGAAAAATGACATGGTTCAGTCATTAACAGCCCTTGCCTTCTAGCCTACTGCCACAGCCCAGCTGCTCATGGTGTATGGAAGGGAATTTTCTCTTCACTTTGACAGTTGCACTAGCTTGACATGGCCTTTCAGGAATAACACCTGTGCTCCCCTCCAGGTGAACTGCTCTGTGGGGGCAAACATGAGCCGAGCGTTAGGCCCAGCCACAAGGAACATTTCCTTGTGTGGAGTGGTGGGGTAGGCCAGGCGCAGCATCAGGGACATGTGTCCACTGAGATGGGTTATGGGGGAGGGCAGGAGGCTTGGCCTGGGATGACTGCCCTCCTCACCCCGAGGCAGACAGGTGACTTTGGGTTACTATGCTAAGCCCCGAGAGTTTTCAGTTTCTGAATCTGTAAGGAGGAAGTTGGAGTAATAATAACCAACATGTGTTAGAACATGAAGTGTCACGTACTCTGCTTACGACTTTATGTGCATTTTGTTCTTTAATCTTTGGATAAGTTGCCCCATGGATTATTGCATCTCGTATATGGGAAACTGAAGCCTGGAGAGGTTGACAACTTGCCCACGATGGCACAGCTAGGACCATCAGAGCAGAGCCCAACGGGAGCCTGACTCCAAGCCCGCACTGCCTGTGTGACCCCCACCATACCGATAGCTCCAAATGCACTTCTGACCACCTAATCATGCCCCTGGAGAGTGAGAGACTTTGCAACTGTAACAGCCTGACTTCACCTTTTTTGCAAATATCATGTATAATTTTCATGAACTTTATTTTTTAAAATATGACTTGATTCCCCAGAGGCTTTCCCTACCTGACTTGGACTCTGATGGCCAGCAGAGGGCAATGTCGTCTCAGGGAAGCGCCCTCCCTTCCCCTGGCCCGAACCACTTCTGGCAAAAACCTGTCTCAGCTGGATAGGGCCTAATCTTCCTGGAGAGGATTTGGAGGATGCATAGCAATAAATTCAGATGAAATCCTGTCTCAGCAGCCAAGGCCCTGCCCGGCACACATGGATCTACCTTCTCTTGTTTGTGGCCCACCTTCCTGACCAATGGAAGCAGCTTCTGCTTGGATTCCGAATGGAAAACCGATGCTCCCCTTGAAGGCTGCTTTTTTGCATAGCAGAGAGCACATTATTTATGCTAACAGTAAATCCATGGATTCTGTCTTCTAATAACTGGTTGGTTATTTACTATGTGCCAGGCTTTATTAGAAGTGCTTTGCTTACATTAATTATCATAAAACTCTGTAAAGTATTTGCTATTACTTTCTTCATTTTACAAATAAACTGGGGGACAGATGATTCAAACCACTTGGCCCAAGCTAAACAGTGAGTAAATGGTACTATCTTGTGTCCGATTCAGATTTGTAATGAAGGAAACCAAAATAGTTCACCCCCAAATATCCTTCTTAGACATATTTTGAGATGGCTGTTCAGAGGGCCTGCAAACTGAGGTGGCCCCGCAGAGCTGGCCTTTGTGGGGAGAGTTGCATCTGTGCAGAATCAGCATGGTGCAGCCAGGCTTTTTCTGAGGCTCTCCCTTGTCCAGATCAAGAAAAGATCAAGAGTCTGACACCTTAAAGTTATGAAATAAATGTTTGCCGTCTATTCTCTCTGAGGACTGCTACCTGTAAGGTTTCACCTGCCTGACCAGACCACCTTTGGGGAGCCAGACCTCCTTGCCATCATAACCTGATTTACCAGCACAACCAGTTTTTGGTCATACTCCAAGCCCACATGTTTTCTGTAACCTTAGGCTGTGTATAGGCTGGGTGTGGTGACTCATGCCTGTAATCCCAGAACTTTGGGAGGCCAAGGAGGGAGGATCACTTGAGGCCAGGAGTTCAAGTTCAAGGCAACATAGCGAGACCCCATCTCTGCAAAATAATGACAAGAATTAGCCAGGCATGGTGGCACAGGCCTGTAGTTTCAGCTACTCAAGAGGCTGAGGTGGGATTGCTTGAAGGATTGCTTGAGCCCAGGAGTTTGAGGCTACAGTAAACCATGATCTTTCCATGGCACTATAGCCTGAGTGAGAGCGAGACCCCATATCAAATAAGATTTTAAGAAGCTAGCGTACAAGTGTCAACCACCTTACCTTGGAGATCTTTGTAAGATTCGGTACACGTTAATAAATACGTGTGCCTTTTCTCCAGTTACCCTGTCTCTTGTCAGTTGATTTTCGGTGACCCTTCCAAGGGCAAAGAGGAAGTTTTCCCTTGGCACCCACAGGAACAACTGCCCCTCGCTACCTTCTCCTTCACCGTTTCAGAGGACTGGCCACTCGCCAAAAGGCACAAGAGATTCCTGAGTCCCTCTTTTTCTCATTTGCACTTGACTTCGTTCTCATAACACACACCCAGCAATGTCTTCTACATAGTTTTTTTTCCCCAGTAAAACATCTTGTGAAAAATCAAATCGGATAGTAAAAATGTTTTTAAAAGTCTCAGGGCTGCTTTCCTTAGAGGTTGCTGCTACACAGCACTAAAGAACACGCACAGAGGTGTGAGAGGGCAGTGCTGCGTGTGTGCCGTGGCCCACCTTAATTAGACTCTTGGTTTTGCAGAGAGCATCTCAGGCCAGCACAGACGCAGAATTTCTGGTTCAGTGCAGTTGGCTGAGTGCTTGTGCTTAACTCCCCACCCTCCCACAAGAGACCCCACTGACAATGATTTCGAAAGAGGGAACAAAACGTCACTGCAGGCACCACTGGAGGTGAGGTAGCTGGTGGGATTTGACTTCGGGCCAGACTGAAGACTGAAACAGGGAAGAGGCATGCCCACCAGCAGATGGTTTACCATTGCCATGGCAACACCCGGACGTTACCACTTCTTTTCTAGAAATTTCTGAGTAATCCCCCCTTTAATTTGCAGGTAATTAAAAGTACACATAAATATAACTGCAGAACTGCCTCTGAGCTGCTCCAACACACTGCCTTTGGGGTATCCTGGCTCTCCAAGTGCAGTCACAGAGCTGTAACACTGCTGCCTCAATAAAGTCGTTTTTTTTTTTTCCCCTACCACTAGCTCACTCTCGGATCCTTCCCTGAGTGAAGCTAAGAAACTTTCCAAGCTAAGCCCCAATTTTGGGACTGGCTTGCCCTGAATCAACTGGCATTCCTAGCTGATCTCCCAGCCTATGCCCTCCAAGAAGCCTCCTTAGTGCCCCATTTCTGAGGAGGGTCCTGCCAGTTCTCTGACAAAGGATTCCATCCCAAGGTCATCAGGTAACATTCATCCTTATCCAACTAGATCC